CGCGTCCTCCTATCGCGAGGATATTACCATCGAGCACCACTGCGCATAAGCCTTGCCGAGCACAGTTCATCCTCGTGACAGGGTACCATTTATCCAACGCGGGGTTGTACCGACTGACTCGAGCTGACACCATGGTACCGTCGTTCTCATGGTGGATGCCACCGAGGACGTACACCTGGCCTTGGAGAGCGACCGCAGCCGAGAAGCAGCTTCCTCTCGGCAGTGAGGCGCGAGTGTTCCAGGCACTGCCACCCGGAACAAGGCACTGGACTAAGCGGCTGCCTTCTTGGCTGAAAACGGAGTGATGTCCAATGCTGTAAAGAACACCGTTACACAAAACCGTCGAGTGACCTTTTCGCCCATGAAGCATATCCGGTAAATCAAACCATTTATTAATGGCAGGCACGTAGCAGACAGTGTGTTTAATGTTTTGAGTAACATACTTGCTTCCAGTGCCACCACACATAACTACAGCACTGACAAACTCCTTAGGGACTTCCGTACCACTTATGCTAATATGCTCGTGTAAACCGACTGTTTGGAGTGCCTCCTGAACAAGCGACAAACACGTGGTGCTTTCCCGAACGAGCGTTTCTCTGGCTACAATATTCAAAAGAACGTCCCTTGACATTCGTCTCAGGCGAACACAAGAGAAAAGATCTTTAAAATGGCACGCTCTGTTGTCTAAGTCGTGCCTGATCCATCGCACGACCGCACTAAAGACATCCTTCTCATTCGTCACAGCAAGATCATCGTTCGAGATGACCTCCTCCAGCAAAGTCTCCTGTAAACTGAGAAACGACGGAGTGCCAGTAGCTTGCACGAAATTTGCGCTGATGAAACGGCTACAAGACGATTTCAACGCCTGGAGCGAATGCTCGTCGGCCACAGATAGAATGGAGAAGCAGTTGTAAAGGTTCAAGTGCTCTTGCAAGAAGTCTGTGACAGCCTCTTGTAGATCCTCGATTATGAAGTACGTAGCAGCTGTTAAGATTAACTCAGCGTTGTCTCCTAACTGTATTTGTCCCGTGTACATGTAGTCTAAGATATCGCCCACATCATCGGGGTACAGCCATTCCAAATCGACCTCAAAATGATCACTCCTTGGCCGCGAATTAAAACTGAACAGCTTTCGAAAATAATGACTAGAAGCGGCAAGGACAGTGCAGTGTGCAGCAAATTTTCGTCCTCCTTTTACGTTGATGATAACATCACAAAACATTCCTTCCTTTCTGAAATCGTTCATTGTTTGAAGAAGCTGACTTGAATAAGAAATGTTGTTAGCATCGAGAAGCTCTGCAGCTTGACGTTCGCCCTTCATCTTTGTATTCATCAGAGTTACGTAATCAGGACGGTTCAGATTATTCATACTGGGCTTATTTAGCAAGAGAACGTGAACGTCACTTGACGACGGCGCGCGCAGTACAATACCCAAATATGGTCAGAT